GGAAGAAAAAGTCCTTTCGAAACAACTACTTTCATATAAACAACTTCTGAGAGTTGTCGTTCGTTCGTAACAGAGTTAAAAAAAATACTTTCAAAAGAACTACTTCCATATGAATATGGACTCACACAAAAAACACATGAAGTTTTTTACATCCGTTTTTCTTCGAATATAACCTCGTGCGTCTCATTGAAGGGGCATGATAACGAAACGTGTTTCAACCGCTTCCATTGTACTCATTGTTACTCAATTGAGCTACCATCTACTATAATCGCACAGAGTGATTCACTAATAATTGATTCCAAGAAGTACCCGCTACTTCAATTAAATTTTGTTTCGCAAAATATTCCATTCGGCGCATGGAAAAGTACGGACAGTAAAGAAATCAACCGACCGTATTTCATGTACACGATGAATACATTAGTGCCCGATCATTAAAATGAAATAGTATATTTAGGTGGCAATATTCATGGAATTGAATTTTTGGAAATTATTGTGAATAAATCAAAATGAGGGTTTTCATTTCATGAACATTCTCAACTGCACACTTTCAAGTTATTTAACCACACAATTAAATATCCTTGTCATTTTCAACCTGAGATCTGAAAATGAAACGTTGTAAAAAAAGGATATGTTACAAAATTTTCTTTATCATCAAATGAGGCGGTGAAAGCTATCAGCATTGTAATTCAAACAAAAGAGATTTCGATTCTGCAAAATATATCTATGATTAAAAAAAAAAGTATTTTTTTGTGCTAGGAATCGCGCGTTGAAAAGTAAGACCCCGGTAATCCTCAGCTCGCACAATTTTTGCCTTCTGAGGGATATCGTTCATAGGGGGCAACAGATTTGAACGGATTTTAACGGATTGTCGATTAGTTGATACAAATCTCATTGAATTCTCATATTATACGGTGTCCGCCAAAAGTGTCATAAAAGCCGATGCTTTGGATAATATTGATATTTCTTGACTAGTCCGGTCAATTTAGACATTCGAAGCTACCTAAATTCCCACCGAGCCGAAAATCAGTGGGATTGTTTAAAATATGATAATATAAATTTTGAAAGTGCCCATCTTTCCCNATTTTAATATATATTACAACTGTAGAGATGTCTGAAGTATTTTTATGACAAAACTCGCCATTTTGCTGAAAATTGCGAAAAACTAATTTTTTGACCTTTAACCTTGAATAAAATTGTTTCAATACAGGGGAAAGATGGGGAACTTTCAAATTTCATTTTTAATCATATTTTAAACAATCTTACTGATTTTCAGCTTGCTGGGAATTTAGGTAGCTTTACTCTTATTTTTTGCTCTAATTTGACCGGATTATGACGTCTCGTAGACGACACAAAATATTGAATTCAACTCAAGCTCACTCAAATATTTCGTGGATGGGAAATTTTTTTCTTGAAATGTATTCATATTAGCGTACAGAGCAAGTCCAAAATGTTGCATATTATAGAGTGAGTTATGAATTTTTCTTTAAAAAATTGAATTTACGGGGTGGGGGTTAATTTTCTGCCCAAAATAATATTTCAACATTTCAAGAAAAAATTCCTATTCACGAAATATTTGAGTGAGTTACGGATTTTTTTTTAAAAAATAGAATTTACGAGGTGGGGGTTTACTTTCTGTCCGACAAAATATTTCAACATATGGGTCTTGTTCTATACGCTAATATAAAGACATTTCAAGAAAAAAATCCCCATTCACGGATATATTCTCGACAATTTTCAAGATAACGGAGTTATTGTAATTATTGTTTTAAATCGCGGAAATTTAGATTATTGAGTAAATTCATGGCCGGACACGAGTTCGATGCCCATTTTGGCAACCGCTGATTGTCGGGTCCCGCACGTCGCTTCTATAAATCCAGCGCTAAAACTCGTGGCTGATTTCACACTGATTATATTTATCATTAGTGTCAACTGTCATCTGTAGATGATATTTGTATTGTGTCCAATTTTGTTTTTTTTTCATGTTTAAAAGTTGTTTTCATTGAATCAATTTTATCATTCATATCATAAAAAAATTTTGTTTGCAGCACATGTATTCTTTTATGTTGGCTAGTCTGTGTATTTGTCATTAGTATCAGAAAATTATATTGTTCAATTTTGAGTGTAACTCTTTGTTTGAAAGACGCCTTTCATTACATTCACTTATCATCCTCATCATTAAAGATTTTGTTGGCAGCATATGTATTTTTTCTGTATAAGTATCTCTGTATATTCATCATTAGTTTTAACTGTCATCTGTAGATGATGTTTGTATTGCCTGATTTTGTTTTTTCATGTTTGAAAGTCGTTTTTATTGTATTTATTTCATCATCCAATTTATTCAAGATTTTGTTGACATACAACACTTGTATTTTTTCTATGTTGGCTAATATGTGTATTTGTCATCAGTGTCAGTTGTCAAATGTAGTTAAATTTTCAGTTTTTGTTTCCTGTTTGATGGTCGCTTTCACTGTGATCAGTTTATCATCCTCATCAATGAATACTTGGTTCGTTGTGGAATGCTTCCGAATACTCTCTCATATTCTGGACTGTTCTATAACTTTCCAGAGTACGAAATTTCTAGCCCCTACATCTTCATGGATACGCTGGTATGACATCAGAACAGAAAAAATGTGACATACATGTCACCTGGCTATCTGGCTGCTTGAATTTAGGTGGCAGTCAACTTTCTTATAGTCAGTAACTGGGTTTTCTGAGAATTTTATAGAAATCGAAGAGTTGGACTATATTCTCATCTTTGTCCAAATGATTCGATAAAAAAGAACTCGTTGAGAATATAACAGAATTTTACTTTTTATACACCTTCATTTTTTTCAGATTGTGAATCGATTGCTCATATATATATCAAGTATATGTATATTTTGAAAACTCCCCTAATCAACAAAGGAAAAGGAGAAAAGATGAACGCAAATTGAAATAAGAAAAACCTAACTACTGCAGTTCTAGTTCTCGGCAGAAAGCTTATCGAATAATCCCTCACTTACGGTGGTTAACCATGAATACCATGAATACTTAAGTATTTTGTAGGGCGCTCATTTATATCTATTTTGTTGTAGCCGTGAATTTATTGTTACTTGCCACAAGTAGACCAATGAAATATTCAAATGATAGAAATAAACAATACAAATATAAATCCGCTCACCTTTGTTGTCACTTTTTATGGAACTGGCCCGTCCATTACCGAACATCAGATGGTTCCTGGCACAATTATAGTTCCTAACACAAATCACAAAGAAACACAAAACGTCAACCATACGAGAAGAAAGTCATTTTCCACGATAATTTATGCCAAAAATCTCTTGAGATTCATAACCGCATTTTAAGTAACATTTATTCGGACGAACCACACAAATCTCGGGACGCGCAAATGTTAATGACAGGTTAACGTTACGCAAATTTCTTTTGTTTTGTGAATCGAGTAAGCCGGGTTGTTTTGGCACTGTCGATTTATTAGGCAAAAAAAAGGTATTTTGAGGTGTAGTTTGTTGATTCAGTAATTTACTGTGTTGCGATGATGTTATATTGGTAGTGGAATCTAAGTAAAATTGATAATACGTAGTCTTTCTTTCAATCCAAGTAGGTTATTAAGGAAATTTTCGTTAATCGAAATTTGATTTTGTCACCAAGTGCTACTTCAATCGAAATCAAAAGTAACCAAAATACCTCGAAGTAGGGTGATTTGCAACATCTGACAAATTTGAATTTTTCACAAATAGGTCTCAGAAGTGGGGTTATTACCCAAATTATCGAAAACAGTTGTGAGGGAAATTTTCTTTAATGAACGAGGTATGTTCAAAAATAAAGGGAATTTTCTTTTAAAAAAAAGTATTTATTAGACTATATTGATGTTGTCGCCTTCAAAATAATCCCCATTGGATTATATACACTTGTGTAGGCGCTTTTTCTATTTCTCGAACATCTTTTCAAACTCGATCAGAAGGAAAGGCATTTAGCTGTTACAGCGATACACTTTCAATGTCATCTATGCTTGTGAAATAGGAAAAATCACACGGAGCCATGTCTGACGAATATGGAGGCTGGGGCATCGTTATAGTATTGTTTTTGGCCAGAAATTCACGAACAAGAAATAAAGAAGAGCAGATGCAGTATCGGGGTGAATAAACCATGGATTGTTTTTCCACTAATGCGGACTTTTTTTTTCTGATTGCTTTACGCAAATCATCAGCTATTTCTCTTAAAAACACGTTTAACCTTGGCGGTTACCAAGAAGAAAACAATGAATACAGATACAAATTTAATGAAAAGAGAAATGAAAATTTCTATGTTTTTTACCAACAAATAAAAGTGGTAAAAAACATAGAAATTTCCATTTCTCTTTTCATTATGATTTCCTACCACGTAGTAACGGCTACATCCATCAATTTATTGATACAAATTTATTTAAGGGACATGTATACCAACATAATAAAATAAAATTTTCACAATTCGACTCTCCGAACCAGTGAAATTCGAAAATTTCCATTATTTTCAGAAAACATATCTCGTATTTTTAGCTAATGCCGAATTTCACCTGAAAAATAGTTGGAGCATGTTTTTTACAAAATCCACATAGTTTTAAATAAATATCCTACAATTATATGGACAGTTTGAGACAAAGAGTACTGGGAGAAATTTTCAAAAATGTATAAATACTTTTTCTTAACGAATACTCACAATTTTATTACAATTTCTTGAAGCACACTGTCTAGTGAAATTGTAAGGACATTATGCCATAATAACCATTATGGCATAACAACCTCAATTCTTTGTGGATTTGCACATAATTGGTTTTGCAAATTTTCGAAATTTTTTCATGAAAATATTTATCAAATTTTTTCAATATTGCCCAATGATCTGGAAAAACAAAACACTGTACATTATCATGTCTTATTAAAGATTTTTCTTGATCAAATGATGATCCGCCCCTGATAAATTCAATGTTCTCCAACAATCTATGAAAATTTCAAAACAATATCGATTAGTTCTTGCATAATATAAACAACAAGTTGGTTATTCATTCGAGTCGATACCAATGAGAAAGCCATGAAAACTTGTGCGAAGTTCAAAATATTGTTAATTTTATTGTTTGTCCTTCTAGGACCATGTTCTTCTCCATACGTTCCTAGACCAAGAAATTTCACGAGAGACCACCCTATTATATCTCCATGTCCAAGTGGTGAAATAGTATTGAGGGGAATGTGTAGAAAGGTATATAATTTATATACCGAGCCATAAAAAGTGAGTACTTGAAAATAGAAATGTTTATCATCTTTCAAGTTATTTTTATACTTTGCGGGAGGTTTTGTTGGCGCTCTTGTATCAGAAAGTAATGCTCGGTCAGTAAACGAAGTTTTGATTTTCTGCAAGTACTTTGTTTCAGGTGAGAAAAGAGGGAATTTCAAAATCTCATCAATATTGTCTGAGATGCTATTTTTAAGAAGACAATACTAATTTCAATGAGAATAATTCCGAGCAAATAGTACTTATCACAATGTGGAGTTTTCTTTTTAATATTTGCTCACGCTTTTTCGTTTGTACATTATTATGAATTGTGTTCTTCAACATTTTCTTTTTTGGGAGGGCTTACCACAAAGACTTTCTATTCTGAATTTGAATGAATGAAGAAAACTGAACGTTTTCAGGGTGAAACGGCCTTTGGGAACTGCAAGTTCCCAACTCACTCGTCAACTATTTTTGAATATCGACATACTATACGTGATATATCATTTGAAAGGTCTCATCTGGTAAAATATCCTCCCGAAATTTGAGGTGCACAAATCAAAATGACGGTGTTGAATTTCGGTGGAAATGAAAGTCAAATATTTCCGATACTATCATAAAGTCTTCGTAAAAAAAAGTTTCTACTTATCAAATACCCCCAGATCCTCACTGAACTTTTTTTGTACATCATTTAAAATATTTTGTCGACAGTAATGCTATATTTAGTCTTGCTTCCAAGTCAAAGTGCGTGATGATATTTGAATATGTCACACCATACTGATATAATTCATTCAACAATTTTGCGTGTGCTACAGTATCGAACGTTTTGGCAAGATCAAAGAAAATCGTTAAGACATTTCTCAGACTTATCCAAAGCATTCACTGTTTTATCAATTAGATCCAATACAGCTCGTTCGGTATTGGGCTTACTGATGAAACCATACTGCTTTCTTGTTATTATTTGATTTTCTGTGAAGAAACTCATCATGGAGCTAATGATCGGTCTGAGCGGAACATCCTTTTTGTGGATTTTGGGTAGTTCATACAGGTGAGAGGGCTTACTGTGGTGCGGTGTTAGCAATGATCTCTCTTTTTTCGTAAAATAGACTTCGTGTTTTTTCAAAGTCTGGTACAACTTCCTTTCAATTGATGCAGTAGAATCTCTTACGATCTTCGTGTATTTTCCTTTCTGAAGCACCTCTTCGATTTTCTGTTCGTGGAGATCAGTATCAGTATATTCAGCTTCAGATATTCAGCCACTCAGAAATTGTCCAGATTTTTACTACCAATAATTAAACCACTGCAGGGTAAAACATCATCTATTGTGAAAAATTCAATGCATTTAGTTGAACTACTGGGGGAAATCGAAGTCAAATCAACTGATCAGTTTCCAACGAATTACCTTTCTTATACGTATTGGTGAAGAGGACCGACACTAAGTGGGAAACATCTGTATATCGAAAATCCACTCACACAGGACAGTATCTGAACCAGAAATCCAACCACCAGCAATCGACTAAGAGAGGAATCATCAAGACTCTACTAGACCGTGCTTTTGGGCTCTGTAATACAAAGGAAGGTCTCGAAAAGGAACTAGGCATCATCAAAAATGACCTACAACGGAGTGGTTACTCCAGAGTGATGGTAGAACAGGCCTTAGCTAGAAGACAGCAAGAACTCCACAAGGAAAAGAAGCCGCCACAACCAGTAGTTGTACTTCCCTACATCAGAGGATTATCGGAAAGGATAAGAAGGATTGGGTCCAAGTACAACATCAGGACCTGCTTCAGATCTGGGAACACTATCCGTAGCAGCCTCACAAAAACCAGGCCACTAAACGCGGACTGCGATTCCAAGAATTGCATTTACCGGGTACCCTGCGAGTGCGGAGAATCATACATCGGTGAAACTAAGAAGCCATTGAAAGTTCGCATTGCTTAGCACAAGAAACACACACAGCGAGGAGAAACCAGCAAATCCGGAATAGCAGAGTATGTTTGTACTCATCAACATATCATCAAGGGGGCTCAAGCTGAAATCATCCATAAAGAGGAACACTGGTTTAGGAGAAAATTCAAAGAAGCCGCGTATATTTTGTCCAACAACACATTTAGTCAAGCTAGCATAGAGATACGTAACATATGGAAACCTCTAATCAAAGGAAAAATGACCAAATCCCGCCAAACGGTCATCTCCCGCTAAAAACCAAAGGTTGTTGCTCGTATGTTATTTCTTTGTAATTTCAGTTTTTTGTTCAATAAAATTGTTATTTTCGGTTAACCTTATTAATTTTGTAATTGTTTTTTTCAGCGTTTTCAAATCAATTTATATTATATTAGACAATGGAAGTCCGAACTGATGAAATACACCACAAAACATTGTCAACCACCTTCAAATATCAATTTCGATTGTTACCTATATTAACTTACCTGTTCACATCTGCTTGTCATTCACAGAAATATGTAGGCAAACCTACCTAGGAGGTAAAAACTATCAGTTGAATTGAAATTCATTCAGATATGAAAACAGTGAAGGTGATAAAAAAAATTATCAAAACCAATTCAATTAAAAATAGCTAGTTATCTGATAAGTGAAAGTCGATCTCCCACCGGCCGCTAGACTATCAGCCTTGTTTTAGTACAAGTTCAAAAACCTTCTCGAAGTTATTTATTATCGATATTGGTCTTTAGTTCTCAAGGAAATTACGTTTTCCTAATACAGGTGTCACAAGTGCCTCTTTTCATTGAGACGGAATTTTGACTATTTTGAAAGTAAAATTTATGATTATTAGTTAGTAGGTTTGTTATGTATGTATGGATATTTATTATAAATGAGATCGCTCAACCATCTGGTCCTCGCGAATAATTGTTTTTCAGTTTGGAAATCCATTCTATAATTTCATTTTCTGTTACTGGTCAAAAGAACATAGTAGACTGCACCAAAAAGTTTTCAAGAAAAGGCGGTGGTAATGATTCAATTTTTTTTATTTCGTCGGCCATTTCAGAACATATGCTAGTGAAATAGCCATCAAAAGCATAAAATTTTCAATGGGACCTGTTATTAGCTCACCCTTCTCATTTTTTATCCAGTATTATTACTAAGAGAAACTATCTTGTGAGGGTTTGTATGTACCTACATTGTTTCTCTTTTACGAATAGACTCTTATGAGTTTCTTAGTGATTCACGGCTTCAATTTCTAATAATTTTTATTGATTTTGTTATATCTAATATTTTTTGAGGGCTGATTACATGTTAAGTTTATTAGTAAATATGTCATATGCTTCTTGCACGTCTGTGGAAGTGAGAACATATTTCCAGATTATTTAATCAAGTAATTAACGGTAATTAACTATTTGGATTATTTCATTAAAACCACTTTCTTTACCCTGTAGTAGTACCCTGTATCCTGTAGTACTGTAGATGTAGTAATCAGTGTAGTTAGTTTCAAATGCAGTAGGATTTATCTCATCTCTGGGGCCTCTCTGATGTTTGTTTTCGAATTGAGTTGAAATCCTAAGATATTCTACTCTTGTAGGTCTACTAAATGATATTTTACATTTAGTAGACTATTCAAAACAGTTACCTGAGTTGGCAACCTTTCAGTTCCAGGTCTCGGTGATAAATTTGATATTTTCGCATTCATTTCGAAAATATTCCGAGTATATAAAACTTATGCCTTTGGAATGATCCGAAATTTGGAGATGATATTTTACCTATGCAATCTTTTGAATGATATATCATACATGGTATCTATGAAAAAGTTGAGGGCTGAGTAGGTCCCTCTGGAAACCTTCAGTTAGAGGCTTAGACTTTTTTTATACTTTTATCCGTTTTGAAAATATACAGAATGGAAAATTACCATTGAATAGGTCTGTATACAATATAAAGATATGTATACTTACAATATGTACAGATAACCTTCGATTATAATTTAACAGAACAAATAGAATTTCGACCCTTTTAACCATTTTATGCTGTGCGACCCAGTTAAAACGAGCCACCTTGAATAATGAGTCAACTGATATTAAGTCTTCAAATAATATTTGACTTCATCAACATCAATTGAAAACCAATTCCTTGTCAGTATACCCCTCCCCATAACATCCTACATGTCAATAAAATCCCAAATGGAGATAATAGGAGAGTGACATTTTATTTGGAAGGTTTTTCGATTATGTATCCAACCATGTGACATTTTCAACTTTACAACGAAAATAAATTGAAAAAAATTAAATACTTTCATGTCTTTATCCTTACAACATACAATTTATCTATGTTCAAACTGAGCACTATTGAGTGATACTGATAAAAATAACAGAATGAAAAATCACCCTGGAAAATTACTTGTATATGATCCTAAATTTCATCACCTAGTTACTGCAGAAGTTGTTGATGTTCATTTCAAAATTAGCTCTCAACTTTGTTTTATTGCGTTTATTATCTACTCGAGTTTTCAACGAGAATCATCCCGACAGAAATGTAAGACATAAATGTTACATGAATTCATGAGAACTTATACTGTTAATAACAGGCAACTTGTCCGTTCGGAAATATTCAATAACGAAGGCATTAATGTTGCCGTTCTAGACTATATACGTTGCTTGATGGAAGAGCTGCAGTATTTCACTAAGTTGTCCCAAAGAAATAAATCATACATTTTCACATTTTTTCGCGGACAAAAATTACACTCCAAGAAAATTAAAATAATTCATGAACTAAACGAAGTTGAAAGACATTTTAAATATGTTATCACTTGAAATTTTCGACATTTGAGTTGGGGGTGGTTGATAAGGGACTGATTCCTAAATAAATATGTGTATACCCGGATACTAAAGTTGAAGTATTTCACATTTTTTTTCACAGTCTCAATATCAAATGACTCATTCAGGGTGACTCAATTTAACCGGAATGCACTGTATATTTTTCATAAGTGGAACAATATTGAAACATTTGAAAATTCAGGAAATATATAAGAAAAGTCATCCTATGTCGAGTTAGCGAAATACAATTCATATGTCAAATAAAATGGTAGCAAACTGATGGAATTATCTAATTTAGGAACTTTCAACAATTGAAAATAGTATTCCCATTTTACATTGTAAACTTATTTTACAGAGGCACACCAGCAACCTGCCATGGAAATTAGAAAACAGTAGTCAATATTGTTGAGAATGGGCAACATGTACATTTTCAATAAAAACTGAGATTAAAGCTAACTTGCTTTTTTTGCCATCCCCAATTCATGTTATGGAGATAAGCCTACACAGCATTTATAAACAAATAGTTAAAAATGATGATAAAATAAAAACGTGAAAGACCTGGGACCTCTGCACTTCAAAAATCTGTTTTACAAAATCTGTTTAAAATCTGCTTTTCCGTTAACAAGCTGTCGCACCCCTACGAACGACAACCCTCAGAAGTCGAAACTTGTGCGAGTTAAGGACTAACGAGGTGTTACCTTTAACGTGTGATTCCTAACAAACAGTACCAAGGAACATCATCGCAAGTCCAATTAATTGACTTTGTTTATATTGGCATACTAATCAGAAATGGCAATTAACATAAAAAATTGTGCCATCAAGTAGGTGACTTCAAGCTATAACACCTCCTTCTACGAAGATGCCATCTATGGAATAAACAGGAGACTCAATCCACGAATGCGAAAGAAAAGTCGTTGTAAAGTCAAACATCGAAATCGACCGCCGCGCCGAACGGAATTTGCTTTTCACAGCAGATTTCACTGAAAGGCAACTAAATGAAACTTCAGCCCAAATATAAAGCATTCGTGATCCAACACCACAAATCGGCATTTTTACCCACCAAAGGTCTCATCGGTGATACTAAGCTGAACCACGAACGCATTGCTGGACTCAACTGCTCCAAACTGGGCTCTGGCTTCAACCAGTTGTCCTGCAGGAAAACCTATTGTGCAAGACGAAACTCGTTCGACGATCGATGTCGAAGTTGGCGTCTTCGTAAAAAAGATAGCTCGCCTCTACTCAGTTAAGTTTGTCGTTCAAGAATATTCGAGTCCAGCAATGCCTTCGTGATTCAACCGTATACCACTGACGAGAACTATAGCGAGTCAAAACGGCACTCTCTGGTGGTGGATCACGAATGCTACATTTTGGGCTCAGGTTTCAACTAGTTATATTGCTATGGAAGCTATCGTGAAAGACGAATCACATTCGGCGGTCGATTTCGAAGCTTAACTTTACAACGGACCGCCTTGGACATCCTCGTTTATCCTTGATATTCGAGTCTTCTACCAATCATGTCATCGGGGCTACTTACTTAGGTTTCTTAGTTTCTTACTTAGATTCTTAGTTCATCGAACACCACTGATATGATCTTGGCGAAAACAGTTGGTCTGGTGTTGGATTACAAATTCTTTGTTTTTGGACTCTGGTTTCAACGTAATGACATCAAGTTCAAAACCAATGACATATAAAGATGCACTTAATGCCTCACACATTGGAAACGACATTCCACACGTTTATGACAAGTATGCCGTTTTGAAAAAAGTGATTAAAAAGTGTATTGTGTATTGGGTTGAATTCAGTTGGCCGCATATTTCTGATCAGTGTTGTAACGGAGGTGAGGGAAACAATAGTACAACGATTGGCTTCCACGAAGCGAAGGTTAACGGAGGCAACATAAAAAAAATATTATTACTAACCATTCATTGAACAAAAGTAATACTTGTTGGTAACTTGAATCACTGAGGTGTAAATTATGTTCCTTGATATTTTTTGGCTTTTTCACCCTACACAACCTGAATATGAGTAAATTTAAAATCTAGATAATGAAGAACAAACTGAAACGTTCACCTCTGAAAATAGCTGCGGAATATTCGATCAAAATATGTATATTCACTTTTCTAAGCGCTTACACTTTTAGGAAAGCCAATTATATAACAAAATGTTTCAATCATTTATTTTATTTATAGATAACATTTATAAATTCAACGAGTGACTAATTAGACTCAACAAAAGTTCTGCAGATTTGCAGCGCGAAATGATACACTCCTTCATATGCAAAACTCCGTCAAGAGACATGGGAAGGAGGATGCGGAGTTACGTTTCATGCGGAAGCTCCACTCTTGTGGATGCCAAGTTCCGTGACAACACTGATTAAAACACACGGGGATACACACTGCACCGAAAAGGAGATAGTAAGAACGATTTTCCAACTTACTTTTCACTATTTACCCTCCACTTTCCATGGGTTTTCTTCTTTTGGGAATTTCATATCCTATATATTTTGATTATGTAGTTGAAATCCAGAATATCTTGATCAATTTAACAATTATCACCTACATTTGCAATGTTTGATCTCAGCCCAAAACTACACGAAAACTAAACGCCCCACTTTTATGGTTCACAAACATGACCGGAATCAAGAATGAGGTATTTTCAGGGTTTTTCGCCGACAAACACCTGGGTGACATTAAATTGTTCTCCGCCATAAATAAGGTGAGTATGACTGTAATCCTGAATTATGATGGAAACATACCTCAGGGCCTCGCAGGCCGTTTTGTTCTTTTATTCAGGACGGGATCTCCGTTTATCGTAGCGTTTTCCGTGACGTACGCCTCAAAGACAAAGTAACAGAAACGGGATAACACAATAAGGAAAATTATGATTTTGCGGCATTTACTTCAGTTCAGGGCCGGAACAAGATGGTAGTCTTTGTTGGTTAGCGATTTAAAGAACACAAAAGCTTCGAATACAAAAAAAAGTTAGCCACTTTCCAAAGATCTAACAATCGTGATGGATATTTAAAAAACTAGTAAATAGAGTTTATTCTAAGCTTGAAGCATAGTTATGCTTCAAGCAGTTATGCTTGAAGAAGCTATTGTATAGCGAAACACGTGTCGCGGTTTTTGTAAAACCCTTATAGTGAAAATCATAGAATAAACTCTATTTATTAGTTTTTTAAATATGGATTTTCATCAAGTATCGGCCAGTTCTATTCAATTAGTGATGGATATTGTCGAAAAAGTTTCAAAATTGGTCAAAATGGGAATTGCAGTACCTATGTTATAGACTTATGTGTATGTGTTCGGAAAGGTTTCCGCGGTCAACAATCTAATAATCTAAAGTCGGGGTTGAACCGCGACAGGTGTTTTCAGTTGTTCGACGTTTCGGCTTCAACTTTGAAGCCATTTTCAAGAAGGTACTGCAAAAGGGTGTCATTCTGCCTTCTCCTCATGTACTCACACACTGTAAAAATTTTGTGACTTGACTCCGGAGGTCTCAATCTGCCTGCTTCCCAGGCAATGGTTTTGGTGTCCTTGAAGCTTATTGTGTTGCCTGTTTCACGACGATGTTTGAAGAGTAATGAAGCTGGATCCGATATACGGACAGCAAGCTCATGTTCATAGGCTCTGTTAGGTACTCCTCTGTTGGCCGATCTAAGTTGTCGAGCAGGTAAAACATGCTATTCCGTATATTCTGTGTTCCTCGTTGGGTATCGTCTTTTCAGGTGTACGAAAAAAAGTGGATATTTTATTGTTGGCTACTTTCTTATGGACACCCGAAGACACAATACCCATTGAGCCACAGGCTCAATGCAACCTCGGCGACAAGTTAAAAAACTCTTACAGCGTGTCTCTACCTGAGGAGTAGGTGAATTGCAGGTTCAAAGTCGAAACCGAAACAGCAAACAACTGAAAATATCCGGACTTCCACTGGCCGCGAAAATCTTTCCGAACACATCGTACGCTTCTACGGGGAGAAAACTCCCAATGACTCGAAATCCTATTCTTCACTCCTCAATTGAAAGGCCAAACTTCTATGTAACTTTTGTCAACACATCAAGTAATTGCCAACGCTTGTCAGATCAAATAGCATGATGAATACCGGGCGCAATTTTGACCGTTCCTGCTTCGCTCTTATTCAAAAGACCATCCAAGACATCAGACGCTATATACACTTTACAGACTTATTCTTATATCAATGTTTCGAACGGTTATCAAACTCAAAAATTCATTGTGTCATTCGAGACATTTTTCTCAGAATGAATAATGTGTCCTTGTCCACATTTTCTCCAATACTCTGCTTGACAAAACACTCATTTTGTCAGAAGGCTTCTTCAACTTCTACATAACACCCAAATCCATTTTTTTAATCAAGTGGAGAAGAGAGTGGTGTTTCATTTTATGTCATTTAGTAAGGTGACATTTCCTAAGAAAATTCACTTTCTGGCACATCAGGAAATGTTTATGTCACTAATTATAACACCTCTCGAAGTAGGTGTTTTCCAGATAAATCTGGTTTCATGAAGCTAATGCTCTTTGCAAAAGGTTGAATCAAACTGTTTGATAAAATTGGATGAAAATGGTATTTACTCAGGCAATATCGTTGGTTTCGTAACATCGGTTGTTGGAACTTCTCCTTTGAAAAGTGTAAACGCGGTCATACGTAACTAAAGTTTACCTTTATAAAATCTCTTTTTGACTACCGAAGTTGCCAACATAACACAGTCAACTATCCGTTCATATTTGATATATGATATGTCGACGGTTGAGCTTAGTTTACCAATAAAATGTAAAACTTCAAAGGAAGACCCTTACGAGTGACATATCGATTCAAAATTTTGTCTTAGTGTTTTAAAATGTGTCTGCATTTCCGTGATATGAGCTCTACAGAATTGGAAAATATATACCGACTTTTCTTGTGGTGACTCATTAGTCACAAGGTCTAATATGCATCTTATATATCCCCACTTATTGTTGAATTTCCAAAACAAATCAACTTATCGCCATTATCGGGAAATTTTACCATGTCAGTAAATTATTACAAGGTTCACTTGACTCATTAATCCTGTTTCCGAAAAATTCAGCGAAAAACTCAGAACATAGACTTTCACGGCCTGAGTCACGACGAGAGAAAACAAAATCCTTGCTGGCATACTGTGGTCGAATGGGACTTGTGGTCTCATTCGACCACATGGTGATATCATCAGTGGTTTGAACGTTAACTGCGAGGACGAAGGTTGCTGAGACTTCGTGATATAACCTTCGTCCTCGCAATCAACGCACATACCACTGATGGTGTCTGTCGCGGTAGTAGACAAAACGTTTGGTAATATAGATTCCTTTTGATCACGCACTGACCAGAATTTGTTTTCTCTAGTCCTTGTCCAATTTTGGTGGCATAGTTTCTGAAACTGCTACGGATGACATTATCCTCTCTACCAGTTTACTG